TGGGCCACACCCCCAATTGGCCACACCCCACCCAATGGGCCACGCCCACCCGGCACCCTAAGATGCATAAGTGGGTTTTGGGTTGCAGTTTGGGCACTCGGTCTCTAAAAGGTTCACCATCACTGGGCTAGTCTCATCGTTGTGTGTATTTGTGTGTGTGTGTGTGTGTGTGTGTGTAACAAGGTGGGGTTGGGGGGGGCTGTATTGAGGTCTTTTCGCTGCAAAGAAGCTCTTCCTGCAGGTAACCGGATCCTGTTTCGCCCACTCTCCTGCACACACACACACACACATACACGTCACCTTCTTTCAACACAACCGTTTCCTCCCTTGCACAAACTTGAGTGAAAGACAGACAATGGGGAGAGTGAGTCACTGGGCAACATGTAGCGTGTATTCCCCACCCCCCAGGCTATCCTCCTCCAAGGCATGGACTCTGCCCTGCCCTTCCTGACCACTCAATCTAACAGAATAGACCGGGAAGGGACCGTGGAGGTCATCTAGCCCAGGGCTTTTCAACCTTTTCACCCATTGTACCACTTTTAGGATATGGCAACATCCGAGTACCACCAGTTGCCTAGCAAGGGGTCAAAAACTTGATGACCAAACAAAAAAAGGAAAAAAACTGATAAAATACAGGGAGTCCTCGACTTACAACAGTTCGCTTAGTGACTGTTCAAAGTTACAATGGGACTGAAAAAAGTGCCCCCCAAGCCACAGCCGAGCAAGACACCTGCCTGCCTGCCCGGCCGCGCTCTTCCTCCTGTCCGAGGTTTCCATTGTGAGCATTTCTGTTGAGGATTGGCAGCGGGGGTGGGGTGGGGGGGTGTTTGGTTTTTATTCCCCCCCCCCGTCTGCTGAGTGGTTGCAGCAGGTTTTGGTCACTTCACATGACCCTGGGACACTGTGACCGTCATAAATATGAATCGGTTGCCAAGCATCTGAATGTAAATCACAAGACCCTGGAGATGCTGCAACATTCCAGCTGACCGGCTCTTCTTCTGGGCTCAGCGGAAGCACCAGGATCAGTGCTGCTTTCCAGCTGATCGGCGCTTCTTCAGGACTCAGCAGAAGTGCCAGGATCAGTGCCGAGCTCCAGCTGGATCCTGGCGCTGATCCTGGCGCTTCCACTGAGCCCTGACAGCCCTGCAGCTCCAGCCGTCTCTCGCTCAGGCTTGTGCGGTGCTGCCACCGGTTCAGCTCATTCCCCTCCCCTGCTACCACTTTTCTAGGATAGTCGCGTACCACCTGCCAGGTGCCAATGTACCACAGGTGGTGCCCCTACCACGGGTTGAAAAGCCCTGATCTAGTCCAACCCCTAACTCAAGGCAGGAGCCTTATACCATCCCAGGCAAGGGGTTGGTCCGGTCTAATTTTTTGAAAACTTCCAGTGATGGAGGACCCACAATCTCAGGAGGCCGTGCAATTGGCCTCCTTGTTTTGCTGTGACTGCTGGGAACGAAATAGTGGGTAGGAAGGACTGACCGGAAGTCAATCCGAATCAATCAATCGGAATAGAGCTGGAAGGGACCGTGGAGGTCATCTAGTCCAACCCCCTGCTCAGGCAGGAGACCCCTAGACCATTTCAGACAAATGGCTGTCCAGTCTCTTCTTTAAAAAACCTCCAGTGTGAGAGC